GAAGGAAGGAAGGAAGGAAGGAAGGAGAAGGAAGAAGAAGGAAGAAGAAGGAAGAGGAGGAGAAGGAGGAGGAGGAGGAGGAGGAGAAACTGCAATGAGCTATCATTGCAACCTACCAGAATGGCCAAAACCCCAAACATTGACAAAATCAATTGCTGGCGAGGATATGGATCAACAATAACTCATGCATTGCTTCTGGGAATGCAAAATGGTACAGCCACTTTGGAAAACAGTTTGGCAGTTTCTTACAGAACTATACATGTCCTTACTGCACAATCCAGCAACTGTGCTTCATCTTTACTCAAAGTTGAAAACATTGGTCTACACAAATACATGTATATGAATGTTTCTAGCAGCTTTATTCATAACTATGCACCCACTGCATGAATTTGTGCACCTTAAAAGGAACTCTGGGCCCTGAGGCTGCAGTAGGCACGGGGATAGGTCTTGGGTCATCCTCTGTGCCCTCCCCCCCACCTTGTCCCTCCCACCAGGGTGCATCACCTTGGTCTGGTACCTCTGCTCACCTGCTCTACCACCCACTGCAGCCAATGCCTGCCATGTTCTGCACGCACCACTGGTGGTCAGCACACATCATAGCAATTGGTTGCTCAGTTGTTCTGACACTTGGCCTATTTGCATATTTGCCTTTTATTATATAGGATTGTGTAACTTGGAAGCAACCAAGATGTTTTTTAATCAGTGAGTGGATGAAAAATTGTGCTAGCCCTAGCCAGTTTGGCTTAGTGGATTGAGTATAGGCCTGTGGACCAAAGGGTCCCAGTTTCGATTCTGATCAAGGACACAGATCTCTGTTGCAAGCTCCTCTCCAGCCCTGGCCGGGGTACATGTGGGAAGCAACCAGTCAATATGTGTCTCTCACATTAATGTTTATCTCTGTCTTTCCTTCTCTTCTACTCTCTCTAAAAATCAATGGAAAAGTATTCTTAAGTGAGGATTAAATTTTTTTTAAAAAGATAAATAAGCTGTGCTACGTCCAGATTGTTAATATAACACTACTATATAACTCAGTACTAAAAAAAAAAATTGAGCTATCAAAACATTAAATGCATACCATTAGATGAAAGAAGCCAATCTGTAAAGCCTACATTCTTTATGATACTTTGTGAGTTCAACTATAATACATTCTGGAAAAGGCAAAACCATAGAGACAATAAAAAGATCAGTGTTTTCCAAAGGTTAGGGAGGAGGGAGGGGTGAACAAGGCAGAGCACAGAGCATTTAGGGTCGTGAAATTATTCTGTATGATACTCTAATGATAGATACATGAGATTAAACATTTGTTAAGACCCCTAGAATGTGCAACACCAAGAGTGAACCCTAATTTAGATTATGGACGTGGGTGATAAGTATGTGTCAGTGCAGGTTCTTCAGTTAGAACAAATGTAGCACTCTGGTGAGGGATATTGATAATGGGGAAGTCTGTGCATGCTTGAGTACATGTTTAAGAACTGTAATTTTTGATCAATTTCACTGTGAACGCAAAACTGATATAAAAAACTAGGTCTATTTAAAGATAGTAAAAAGGAGAGTCAGATAGAAGGACACTACAGGTGAAAAACAGCTGCATCATTTTTCCATTGATTGGTAAATATTTATTTACTATCAAGTGCATTTTATTTTGTTATATTTTACATATATATTAAATATATAGCATTTTATTGATTTATTTTACTAATATTAAACAGAATTATTTAAGATTTGATTGGAAGGATTGTGCATGGTGATACTTGGGGGAGTAAGGAAAGAGGGTAAACCGGCTAAAACAAGGGGAGTGATCAATGGAAAGGATAAATGGAAGGGAGATTGCTTGCCATTTAGTGGGAGAGGGAGTAAAGGTGCCATTTCAAAGACTAGACTTTTCCATAATAATTTTTCAAAGAGAAGCTGTTCCTTATTAATGTTTAAAATAGGTTAGCATTTTGTAAGTGTTTAAGGTTGGATGTAAGAAGAAATTAGAAAAATGGGTGTGAGGAAAAGTCAAAGGGGGGGAGGATCCAGGAGAAAAGCAGAGGGGAAAGGAGAAGTGTAGCATCGGACCCCTCCACAGCCACCCAGAATCCTTGTAAGTATAAAAACCCTGTAAGAGAGCCGGGACCGGTTTGGCTCAGTGGTAGGGCGTCGGCCTGCGGACTGAAGGGTCCCGGGTTCGATTCCGGTCAAGGGCATGTACTGTGGTTGCGGGCACATCCCCAGTAGTGGGTGTGCAAGAGGCAGCTAATCGATGGTTCTCTCTCATCGATGTTTCTAACTCTCTATCCCTCTCTCCTCCTCTCTGTGAAAAATCAATAAAATATATTTTAAAAAAAACAACAAAAAACCCTGTAAGAGAATTAGAAGTCTGCCTCTTGGCTACCCTCTGGTCCTGCTGGGAGAGGGGAGGTGGCAGGAGGAGGAGGAAGAACCTAGGACCCAACCATCACATTTCCATCCGTGAATGTTTAAATATCAGCTTGGATTACTGTTTGACCTCAGAAAAACTAAAGTAGGATTACCACAGACTTAGATAAATCCAACCCCAAGAAAACAAAAGTTTTTAATATTGATGATCTGGTGACCTTCCCCCCCACCCTCCCCCCCCCCCAAAAAAAAAAAACCAGCAGGAAAAAAAAGTTTATTGTCTTATTTGTGTTTCTCTAAATAGAATGAAATAGAATTTAAGATATTGCAATAAATTTGGAAATATGGCATTAATTAAGGTCACACTGAATACACTGTGTTCTCATTATGCCGTTAAGAATTGATATTGCATTTGTTTTGAATTCATTTTCCCTTTAGTGCTTTGCAATAATATTTTAATAGCTTGATTCATTACATTGTATTAATGAGAATATATTATCATAAGTTAAGAATATTAACTATAATAAATAATATAGCTAATCTATAGATAAAATAGATTTACTATACCATCTGCTTTCAATATATAACCAATTGGTTAACTGTGAGAATGGTTTGATTGCCTCTTTTTCATGGTGTCATCATTATTAAGATAGCTAAATCCAGAGAATGTTTAAGTAAAGCACACACATGCAAATACACACATAGAGAAAAATGACATTTATAGCTTAACTTTTTTGTAAAAGTGGAATATCCCTCCTGACGTATTATAATTGATGCTATTGCCCAGCTATATGTCAAAGACACATGTATACAGTGGTAAAAACTTTCATCAACCCTTGGATGGGTGCCAAACAGGTCCTTAATAAAACTGTAAATTGGGGAAAAGTTGTTTTCTGATCCTTTCTGTTTAAAATTAACCCAGTAGGCCCTTTAGTCACCTTCCCTGGGTGCTGTCATCACTATAGACTGTGCGGACACCTCTGGGAAATTAATTCCCTTAACAACCAGGTCCTTCCTCTTCCTTTCCTTGTTCTCTTCTTACAGGAAGTAAACATATTCATGTTTTCCATAGATATACAGTCTGTGAGTTCCAAGTATTACAACTTTTTTGTGATTTTATTTTATTGATGGATGAAAATAATTCCTACAGGCATATTCTGAATCATCAGATGGCCCATCGTATATCATTTTATTTGTAAGCTGGTATAGGAAGGTCTGCTGTAGTCTCCAGAGATATTCTGACCTGGTCACAGAGGGTCTGGTCTTTTATTTCCTTTGAAGAAGGATATTACTGGGTTTTGAAGAGCTGAGTGTCAGCTAATCTGAGAAACACTACTGTAACAAGTAATATACTTTTCCTCCTAATTCTTTATTTATTGAAAATCTACTCTGTGCCTGGCCTTGCACTGGGGATAGGGATGGAGTTTATCAGTGAATGAAACAGACTTGCCCTCCAAGAACATACTTCTAGTAGAAGACAGACAATAATAATAACCATAACAATGAAGTTAAAACATAACAAGTGCTGTAAAGAATTCTGTAACAGGTTACATTAAAACAAGAATGCTGGATTGGGGTCGGGGCCATGGTTCAGATTGCAGTGTTAATACTGTGGTTGGAGTAGCTTCATAGAGAAAGTGGGATTTGAATGTCTTTGAAAGAGTTGGGGCATTGAGCCACATGCCCCATCACATATGAGGGATGAATGGATTTTCTATAATAAGAAAACTAGGTAAGAAAGGTGCCATATTATACTCTATCATGCCAAATTATAATTCTTCAATTCCTGAGGGATATTAAAATTAAAGAAAGAAAACAATATTACTGAATGGATCATGTTATTTTTTTCATGTAAATGCAGAAATATCCAAGTATGTCTTTCTACAAAGCAGTCTGTATGTTAACTAGCCATTATTTTGCTTTAAATTTTTTAATTGGTCTAAAAATTAAAGGGTAACACAATCTATAAACATATTGTAATGTATGTTTTTACCAAAAAATCAAAATTTTCTTTGAGTAAAAAGAACACAAAAATTGATTTTGTTGTTGCTATTAATCAAATGCCTATGCTAAACACTAGGTCTTAGTGTTCTGACTAGCTCTCATGGCGAGTGACTTTATTTTCCAGGTCTTCTCAAATGAACATCTTATATGAAATGTTCTGGTTTCTCATTTAGTTTCTGGTTCCTTTGAAATATTGGGAGCATTTCCCTATTAAGCATAAATTGAACATTTTGTACATCAGTTCTGCAGCCCTTTAAGACAGTGGTTAATTGTGATCAGTCTTAGGAGTGAGAAGCATTCTTAGTCCTCCATCTGCCTCATGCCATGAGTACTTAGTAGGTGGGCATATTTTTGCATAGAGATGGGTCTGAGATCCCTAAGAAAGTTAAAATCTCCTTTCCAAAATTCTATACCTTGAAAGGAAATGCATTTGAATGTTTATCAGTAGGATATTAAAGCAAGTAAATGCAATAAAATCTAATGAGAGCACACATTTGCTTTCTTTTTTTGTTTCTGCACCTTAATGCAGTTCAGTGCAATTAATTGTAGCAGCTACTTCATATGAGAAAACCGTTTTGATTTAAGAACCGAAAGCTTCCTCTCTAAGGCACAAGGTGTGTTCTCTGCTCTCTCAGATACGGAGACAAGGAGGCATCCAGCTCCTGGTGGACCTGTTGGATCATCGGATGACAGAAGTCCACCGTAGTGCCTGTGGAGCCTTGAGAAACTTGGTGTATGGGAAGGCCAACGATGACAACAAAATTGCTCTGAAAAACTGTGGTGGCATCCCAGCGCTGGTGAGGTTACTCCGAAAGACCACCGACCTGGAGATCCGGGAGCTGGTCACAGGTTAGAATCCTTATTGATAGCATGACTGTCTCTCAAGATCAATCTCCATTCTCCAGCATAATGGCAAATGTGGAGAGTCCAGACCTCTCCGAGGGCTAACAGCCATAGGCAGTTTAAGTAGATGTTGGCAAATGACGAAACAAATGACTTAAGAGCATATTCAATGTAACACACAGAGATTGATCCAATTCAATAATTATAATGCCATAAACATAACCCTCACTAAAATTCTGTGACTATATTTCAGTCTTTGTCATTTGACTTAGTACCCACAGGTCATCATTATAATGGTATGAATAATGATTAAAGGGACTATTGTATTCTTCATTCAAGCTCCAAGGGCCCTTCCTTTATCTCTATAACTTGTTTCCTAAGCCCATTTATTCTATGAATTACTTTTTCTACCTCTGATTTTGTAAATAAATGCTATCGTATAGTTTGAAAAAAAAATAATGATGATTAAAGAGCCTGGTATCTGAGTTATTGCTAAGAATGTATATATTCTGGTTTATACTGTGGTTAACAACAGAGAACTTACCATATTCAACAGTTTATTTCAGTTATAAAATATTTATGCCTACAATGTCCTAAGGTTATATGGTATTAAATATTAAGGAACTTTTCAGTTGTGAACATGAGAGAAAGCCTTTCCATAAACATAGAACATTTGAGTTTTGTAAAATAGAGAAAACTGTCAAAAACACCTCTTAAGAGCCATCAGGATTAATGAATGAGAACATGTAAAGCACTTTGTATATGCCTTTCTTGGGATACATGTGGATACAGTAAACATCAGCCATTCGCTATCATCCCTCACTTTTAAAGTGTGCACTTTTACTTGTTGGAGTGCTAACAACATTGGTGTCCTCAACATGGAATTTCAGATTGCTCTTCTTGATTATACACATGGCTGATCTGGGTGATATTTGGTTTGGGTCCATCAACTTTTCCCATTCAAGTAAGTATTTTGCCAGTGGTTTGCAAGGTTGGCTCTCAAAAGTGGATGTTTTCATTACCCAGGATTCCGCTGACCTCTGACTTGGCTCTAAAATTTTCTTGTAGTTATGCTGATGAAGTCTGTGTGAATTTGTCTATTTAAGGAAGTACATTACTCAAGCCAGAGTTATAAATAATTTTCCAATCTTGGTTCAAGACTCCCAGTGTCAGCATCTTTTCTTAAATTTATACTCTAAAAAATTATTGCCATGTCTCTTTGCCATGATGGATCCTATGGAAAAACAACAAGCCCTTTGGTCAAGCTGTCACTCTAGAAATGGAAATCAGAAATGAACATCTATAAGAACATTCCATTGTGAGACAAATGGCTTTAAGTAACCAAGTCATGACCAAGCCTTCAAAATATACGCACTGGCAAAAGTCTGAGGGCTCCTGGAAACTCGCAGGGCTCTGCTGACTTCTGCTTAGTCACAGCATGGGTGATGCACATCTAGCCAAAGCTGATTCCACTGCCTGATGCAAGAGGTAAAATGAGGCAAACGAGCCGGGACCGGTTTGGCTCAGTGGATAGAGCGTCGGCCTGCGGACTGAAAGGTCCCGGATTGGATTCCGGTCAGGGGCATGTACCTTGGTTGTGGGCACATCCCCAGTGGGGGGGGTGCAAGAGGCAGCTGATCGATGATTCTCTCTCATCGATGTTTCTAACTCTCTGTCCCTCTCAATTCCTCTCTGTGTAAAATCAATAAAATATATATTTTTTTAAATGAGGCAAACTAATACACCTCAAAAGGCCTTAGAGAGTCATGTTCATGTTCTGCACCAGCCCATGGTCATCTGCCAAAGTGAGCTATAAGAGCATGGAATCAGTGGGCTCCCACATTGCTGGGGGAATCCGGTGTTTTAGTACAGCCAAACCTATTTAACCTCAAGGTCATCCTTAGTTGTCTTTTCTCAAATGCTTTTACATTTCTACAGGGTCAGGTGTGTGCTAAGCTTTAGACTTCTGCATGGGCAGGGTTGGTGTTAGTTGACCACACTCACACCAGCATGCTGATGACTAACATCAGTGCCCACTGTGTTGGGTGGGCCCCTGTTCTGAATTGTCGAACCGTATGTTCCTGGCAGCTAAATATTAGGAAGTCCTTGACAAACATGTTCACATTTTGGAAACTTAACTAGGTGAGCAGCAAGGGAGTCGATGGCTCTGGAGGGTAGAGTAGAGAGTAAGAATAAAAAGGCTTTCTTCATTTCTGTTGTCACAAGCTTCCCTTCCTCCCCAAATCCTCTTGGGAATTAGGTTTACATGTATATAAAAATTTTAAAAAGCAATGATTTAAAAGTAACAAATATTACTTCCTTTGTAATTCTCCAGTGGAACTAATACAGAGTTCAGCAAGGAGTAAGTACTGAGGATATTCCAGGAGGCCCATTAGGACACACTGCCTATAAGCAAGTGCATGAAAACAAATGTGCTGAAAACATTATAGGGGGATAATGAGCTTTGAATTTCTTTCTGGATATTTACAAACTAGGGTATTTTGTAAACAAATATTCAAAAGAACAATTTTAGTGTTTTGTTTTTAAATCAAGCATGTTTATAAACCAGATTTTAGATTAGATCTAGTTTCTATATACAGAGGAATCTAGAGTACCAAATTATAAGCAACAAAAGACTCAAAGAAAGGAATGATCTGCGTGGCTTTAAATTATTTACTGAGTATTCTTTGACAAACTGTTTGAACAATAATAAAATATTAAAATTGAAGTATTTACATATATTTACATTCAATGCAAACATGCATGCTTTAAAAAACAGCTGCCTCTTTGCACTGCCGTATCTGTTCACAGTAGAATAGATAGTGCCCGTTAGGCCTTGCAATAAATAACTTTCTTCCTATGCCATAATTGCTGTGAGATGATGATCAGAATTTTATTAAAATCCAGTTGAAGCCATTATATGCTAGCCATTACTTCAAATGCGCCAAAGCAAATAAACTTTGATTAGAAATGCTGCATGTCCTTTGGGCTTGACTAATATAATTTTTCTCTCTGTAAATATGGAAATAATCAACCTAAATTTTAAAATGCCCAACTAAAGATTTCAGAGTGCTTTACAAATCATAATAAGACAGGTTTTACTGAACCATAAAACTTAATAAATATGTTTTATATTAGTTGAAAGCAAGAGTCCTTATGATTTCTACTTCTTCAAGAGTGGAGTGTATTCTTTGATCTTATGCTTTGCAGACCTGAATAGTCTTTCCTTTAATTAAAGAGACAGAGCTCACTTTACCTACTTCACTTAGTAGTTTTAGGTCAGTTGCTTAGTCTCCAAAGGGTTCTGCTATAAGTTGAACTATGTTCTCCCAAAATTCATAGGTTGAAGTGCTAACCCATAGTCCCTCAAGTAGTTATGTTAGCATACTAGAGGAGAGTGAACCCTTAATCAGATAAGGCTGGTGTCCTTATGAAAAGGGGAAACTTTAACACAGATACGTACAGGGATAATGCATTGTGAAGATAAAGGCAGAAATTACGGTGATGCTTCTACATGGCAAAGAACACCAAATATTTTCCGAAAGCCATCAGAAGCTCAGAGAGATGCATAGAACAGATTCTCCTCACAGCCCTCAAAAGAAACCAACCCAGGTAACATCCTGATTATGGACTTGTAGCCTCCAGAATTGTGAGACAATCAAGTTCCTGTTTAAGTCATTTAGTCATGGTACTTTGTTATGACAGCTGTAGGCAACTAATACAGACCTAAATCCAGACTGCTCATTCTCTTTTTTCCAGAAGTGAGCAAACACATTTACTGGTCAGGCAAATAAATGTAAAACCATGACGGTTTAATAGTATCACTGTTTAAAATAAATGGGTCCCTATTGGCATGATTTCATAATTCATCTTCTCAAAGCAACTACTTATGAAGGATTGGAAGCAGCAAAGGTGATAATTAAAAACATCACCTTCTTTTACTTTTTTTAATCAAAGTAATAGATATATTTGGTCCAAAAGTAAAAGAGTTTGAAAATGCTTATAATGAAAACAGCAGTCCCCTGCCTCATCTGTCCTCCCATATCCCTCAGAGGCATTTGGCCTTAGCTTTTGATTTGTTTTCCTTTGTGGGTTTTTTGTTGTGTTTTTTTGTTTTGTGTGTGTGTGTGTGTGTGTGTGTGTGTGTGTGTGTGTGTGTTTTCATTTTCTCATGGTTATTTCATGTATTTAAATAATATGTGTATTTTACTCTACATCAATTACATGGGCTTTTCATATTGATTTTCAATTATGCTAGAGGAGAATTTTTTTCATTTTCATCATTTATGTCTTCTTCTTACCAAAATGGTAGGACCATTATTTTTGGTCCTTTTGCATATTTAATCAGTAACCTTAAAGATAAGTCTCCAATTATTTCATCTAACTCAGACTTCTTCTCTTATCACTCATTTTGTAAGTTAAGGGTGTTAGTTCTCCCATGTTTTCGCCTTTCATATTCACAACCTCTGTCATCATGCTTGACTTTTATGTTGTCAGGGTTGACTGCATTTGCCATCTCTTCTGTGACCATAGTCAATCTTCCAAGATTTTCTGTAGCTTGATTCAAGGACTTGAAAGCCAGAGACCAGCCTTTGCATTATGGTAGAAGAGCAGATCTATGTGGGGCTTAACAGTGACATTTTCCCCCACCACCATGGATCCAGTGTGATGCTTGTCAAAGGAGTACATTTCTAGCATCACGTCTGAAAGGATCCTCCATCAAATCAACTTTGTCCATGATTTCAATCATCATCAATTCCAAAGATTCTCACTACCAGAATCCTGTGTTTGGGGCAGATTTGGGTGATTGCTCTCTAGACTTGCTGCATAGCTCTCCTGGTTTGGAACTTCTGTCTCTTAGATTCCATACCTTCCTCTTTCTTGGTTTACTCTCTTATAAGTTTCTTTAAAAAGATGCTTAGAAGATAAAATTGTGAAAATGTCCTTATTGTATCTTCATACATGACTGATGTTTTATATGGGTGGCTAGACATTTATTTTTCTAG